CCCGACCTGCTGAGCCCCACCCGACCTGCTGAGCCCCACCCGACCTGCTGAGCCCCACCCGACCTGCTGAGCCCCACCCGACCTGCTGAGCCCTGGCCCAAACCCTGACGAAGGCACCGTCGACATTGAAGATCAAAGATGCTTATAGAGCGGTTCCGTCTGCGACATGTTGGAGTAAACCTCATTGGTGCTCTATACCTTGTCCGATGCCAAAACATGGGCCTTTGGACATCAAGGCATCCAGGCTCCGCCGCCTCGCCCAGGCCGGTCCTCCTCACGTCGCCACGTGCTTTGCGTCGCCCCGCGGTGCTCGGCGCGCCTGGCGCCGAGCGTAAGCCGTGGGTCCGATGTAGGGAGGGGTTCCGGTGGCGACGAGGAGGCCCTGCCAGGTGATGATGATCATGAGAGGAGGGTATTAGCATCTAGGGCCATCTAGGGGGCCATCTAGGGGGCCATCTAGGGGGGCCATCTAGGGGGCCATCTAGGCCCCCCCCCCCCAGTCACCCTGAGTCGTTCGACCACCCCGGAGGTCAGGACAAACCACGACTGCAAGCCATGAAGGGTGAAGGGTGTGGCCCAAAGAGTAAGGACCTAAGGAAGGAGGTTCACTGATGTTCATCTGGTCTATAGGGGAAACCATGCAGGAGAGGATGAAACAAGTGTGGATGGGTTCGGAGGAGCTGGACACCGACCTGGAACCACCCGTGGTACTTGAAGGGAAATGGTCACAGGGCTTCGTCCAGTCTGCCTAGCATCCAAGGATCCATGACTCCAGATGTGGCTGGCTGGCTTGGATTTGAGGCGGTCCGCCTCCCCGGAAGCCGGGTAAGAGGTTTGGAGTCTTCTCCAGGGTGATGGGATTCCCGATCCGATCGGGAAAATAGAAGATCAATCAAAACCAAGCAGGTTGGGTGAATCCTCATGCCGGTTCCGGGAGGAAGGATGAGGAAGGCATTCAAAAGGACTCTTCCTTTGATGGCCGCCCAGAGTTCGGAACGATCTCGGGACTTCCAAGTGGTTCGTACCTAGCGCTTCGGATGTGTCCAATTCAGAACCACCAAATTCTGCAGTCTGGCTCTGTTCTGAGCTGAACACTTGAGCAGCGGCGAAGAAGCAGCACCAGAAGCCTCTGGATTTCCTCTCCCCTCACAGAGCCCCAAGAAGCCTGAAACATACCATATGGACCTTCAAGGGGTGTCCTGCCTGGAGATCCCTAAGTAGGGGAATTCCAGCCAGGTGAGCCTGAACTGAAGGTGCTGGTATCTAGATAGTTTGTTAGTTTACAGTTGGATTCGCACCATCTTCATCCTCTCTCCTCACCCTCCTCACCCTCCTCGGCCTCAGCCAATCTTCCCAGCCCAAGGCATTCAACGACCGAGCGAAGTGCTCGGGCACCGGCCTCAGTATCTGCTGGAAATACCCGAGACCCGCTCACCCGCCACGGCGAGAGCCCACAAATCAACGACCCCAGTCGTTTGGTCGGTGAATCTGTAGGTGGCAGACCTTTCAAGGTTGGTGCAGGTCTGCAGCAGATCCATGAACCAGCAGTCACAAAGGGGTGGTGTTTAGCACCCAAGTGGACAGTCTCTTCTTCCACGTGGTACACGTGGTATCCAGGGAGTCAGTGGTCGTGTCTGGGTATCTGCGTTTCTTCGTGCACTACTCACTCTATGACCAATCCTCGGAATTGATGGGAGCTGCTTGATGCTCGGCACTTGGCCTCTGTCAGAACACACGGCACAGAAAAGGGGGTAGAAGAGGTCGGAAGAATGTAAACTGACTCGGGGAATTCCATGATCATAATCATTCCATGTATTCCATCTCTTTGCTACGAGAAACGGCCAACCACCCTTGCAGGTCTTGACATCTTCAGCGAAGCGCTGCAGTTCGTTTCACTGCGCTCGACGGAGCGCGTTTCTCAACTCTCGACGGGCCGGACATTTCAAATTTCATCACTTCGAGGGGCGCGGTGATGACCACTTCCTTCCCGGCAAAGGTCTTGATCATCAGCTGCCGACTGTGCAAGTGGAGTCCTCTGCGAAAAAAGGGACGAAGGGACAGGCTCCCAGCCGGGGGTGACAGGGTGTCGCCCAGCTCGTGGTAGTAGCAATGATATTCATTCGCAGCATCTCTGCAAACAACTTCCCGGAACAATGCGGCCAGCCAGTTGGCTTCCGGGCAACTAGGACAGGTTAAACGGTTAGACCGTTGGTTGAAGCAGTTGGCCAGCAGTCATGATGCCTTTACTGACGAATTGTGATCCTGGATAGGCTGAACGAACCGCCTCAAGTCACATGTACGTATAAACATATGTGTACATGATTGTGTTCAATGTTCTGTATGTATGTTTGCAGTCCTGTATTTTAGTCCCACAATCCCACCTGAGCCACCAACCCGCCAGGCCGCACTCTTTGCGGTCCAAGGGGCGTGGCGAGGGTCCTAAGAGCTCCTTGCGCTCGTGTCGGTTTTCCGCAGAGTGGTACCTGAAAGGCATGGCGGAAGATGAGTCCCCGAGCCAGTCCCAGCACCGGGATGTGCATGGAGGAAGTCGGGGTGAACCTGTCACATCCACTCACTGGATGGATCTAAACACCATCCCTTTGGAATTCCTGCTGCCTAGCACTTCCAACGGGTGCCCAATGGAGACCTGTAAGTAGGATTAGCGTAGTCTATATTGGACACCCATTGGATGATCCTGCTAGGTTTGACCACCCGGATCCAGGCCACTCGACAAGGAACTCTAGGGATTTTGAGAGGCAGTTCTTCTTGCCTTTGGCAACCACGAGTTGCCTACTATGGTGGTAGCTGGATGTATCTGGATGTGCTGGGCTGTGGGAAAAGGCCCCCCCAGCAGCAAAAGTTCTCAACTTCATCCATCTTCGACCTCCCTTGAGAAAAATCCATGGTAGGGGTGCGACAGAAAATGAAGTCCCCAAGCTGTGAAACCTCGTCATCTCTTTCCTCAGTCTTGTGACCTGACACCCTCCGACTCGCTAAGATGGTTACGTGGATGGCACCACCTGTTGGTAAAAGAGAATGGTCTTCCAAGGGCCCATGGCCATCCACGTAACCATGTGATGTGTTCGGAGCCAAGTGTAGGCAAGACGCTCCAAACAGCCCGACCGGTCCCTCGAAACCTAGGGATTGGTTCGACCCCAGACCCCTCCATATGAGGGTCCGGCAGCTCCATATGAGGGCCCGGGGTCGCGTCTGGGTAGGCAAGATTCGCTCTTGGATTCCTTGTGTGGTCGCACGGCACGAAACCGGTCGCTAGACCGTGGGGTGCCATCGAGTGAAGATCGGTCGCCGCGCCTCACTTTGAAGTCACTCGCGGGGCCGCCCACCACGTTCCTGAAGCAGCAACCCAGCAGGTAGAGGTCCGAAGGTTTGGTGATTGAACGTCTCAGAATTGCATGAAGGGCGGCCGGAAACCCATCGCTTTGGAGGTGATCATCGCGGTTTGCTGTATATCTTCCCTTCCACCGATCCACTGGCGTTTGTTCGGCGTCGACTCGCACACCCAGCGGCTTTAAGGCGCCAGCGCCGATTTCGAGGGACCCACCGTTTTTCCGTTCGCCTCGCATCCCACCCGCAATGGACCCACATCAGGGCTTAGAATGGCCTCTCCCACCACAGGGGTTTCCACCGTATCACGGCGGTTAGGTGGTCGAACCGACCACGGACCGGTCGCCGCCCTCCCGCTGCCGCCCAGGCCACGAGAGCTCATAATAGATGGGATCGCCCAGCATCGGCGCGCGCAAGCCGAAGGCACAATGCGCACGAGTCTGATGATAGCGACCACCTGGGTGATGAGCCGGCCGAAGATCCATATGACAAGGCCTAATCTTAGTTCATCCTGGGAGGTTTTTAGCCTTGCTCACCTGAGTTCATGGACTGGGCGATGTGATTGATGTTTTGTTTCATTTGTGGCTGCTGGTTTAAGGGGGGTGAATCCATGGCCTCCGGTATAGTGGCCTAGACACCGTGGCCTAGACCGGATGATCCGTCCGAATGGGTTCCCATGTGGATTTTTCGTCCGAGCAGCTGTATGGGTTCATCGACAAAAGGGTTAGGCCACCACACAAGGGCGAGAAGCGCAAGGCGTTGTACCTCACGGCAGGCGTTGTACCGTTGTGCCTCCAAGAGCTTTCAGAAAGGTTCGGCTCAGTGGATTGTTACATGCTTAACTTTTTTGAGGGGGTACCCGGGTACCCTCTGTATCATGCCCGAGCTTTATATGGGTGGTCGGTGATTAGGAGGCACCATGGGGACAAATTCTATATAATGCTGTTCAGCTATGCATCAGTTGAATGCACAGTATCATGACTATCTTGCTAAAGCAAACCTAAACATGTAATGCATTTGGTAAACTATAACTCGATTCCTGCAAACAAAAATAAAACAACTAAACAAAAAACATGTTTGTTGTGTCATTCTTTAAAACATGCATATACCTGAGAAGCTGCAAAACGAAAGCCAGCGCTTCCCGTTCTCGAGAACTGCGCGTCGAAGCATAGGATAGAAAGGTAGGTCTGC